AGAATTCCAGCACAGCAAAAGGGAAAAGGACATAAAGTCCCACAAGAAGTTATTTGTAACTGCTACCTTCTAGGAGAGAGAAAAGCTGCTTTTATGGAGTGTCTCTGGGTACTATCAATCACATTCCAGATCCACGCTCAGAAATGTTGGTCACCACAAAACAAACTCCATGCTTTTCATTTGGCACTTTCTTTTTGGCCTGTTTTTGTTTTCTTGTTTTTCAGAGAAAACAAAGTTGGGTGGGTAGGGAAGATCTAGTAGTTGGAGAGAAAAGAACAGGATCAAAACACATATGAAAAAACACTAAAGAAAAGAAAAGCAATTACCAAGGTAGGAAGCAAGTGCATTAACCTGGACCAGAGACCCATTTGTGACAACAGGAAAAAGCCTTGGAAACAGAGGCCTGGCTTGCTGGGTCCAGCCTCTCCAGCCCCATTTACATGCTATGACACGAGGTGTCGTTCATATAGCTTTTGTTTACAAAGCATTTGGGTTGGTGGGTTGTCTTTATTTCCTCTGTCAAAAAATACAAAGTTTTAAAAAAAACCTCTTCTAGGCTGTTTCCAGACAATCCTGCTGCCGGCAAAGGAGCAAGACCCGACACAGGTCCATTCAGGATCCCCAGATTTTAAATGTGTTCTTCTGAAGCATTTTGCATTTAAAATTATTTTAATAACTTTTTCTGATTACAAAAGTAATACATACTCCATATAAGACATTTAGAAAACAATACGAAAGTCCTCAGTGTTCACCATCTGGAGAGAGCCACTGCTAACATACCCCTTTCTTTGCACGTGTACCTTAAAATATAGTTTACATTTTAGCAAAATTTTATGCCTTGAAAATAAGATGACTGAGGTTCTCCTTTTATAATGTCCGCTGTGGCTATTTCCCAAGTCAAGGTAGTCTGGCCACAGTTAGAGTGTTTAAAGCATGTGCTTAGCCTTGGGTTCAATTCCCTAACTGAAAAAAGCAAAACAAAACAAAACAGACTCCCTTCAGCAATTTAATGGCTACAAGGTATTCTTAGCCTTTATTTGGAGCATTCAAACTGCTTCTAATTAAAGCTGTTAAATCTGCTACACTCACCTTCACACTTGGGTCTTTAGGATAGAGTCCTAGCAAACACAATAGTAGGTCAGTGTGTGCTTCCAGGGCTGCCTTCATGGTCAGGTTAACTGGCTGTCCTCCCAAAGGATGCGTCTGTTTGTTTATCCCCTAGACAGCCTAAGATCTCACAGTCCATTGTTGTTCGTCACTTACCTTTCTTTGGGCATTTTGAGCAGTATAAAACAAAGGGACTCAGTTGATCCTCCCCTGTGGTCCCTGGTTAAGAACTTAAATATCCTTTTTTCCTGGGCAGACTGGCACCCTGAAGACAGCCTTGCTAGACTACATCAAACGCTGCCGCCCTGGAGACAGCGAAAAGCACAATATGATTGCCCTGTGCTTCAGCATGTGCCGGGAGATAGGGGAGAATCATGAGGCGGCGGCTTGTATCCAGCTGAAGCTGATTGAGTCCCAGCCCTGGGGTGAGTGAGCTGCAGCACTCATGGCCCTGCTCACACTAACCCGGCCAGCTCTTTAGGGGAAAGACTTGGGAGCAGCCCTGGTGGCGGGAGATGGCCGTTTACAGAAGAGTTTGAACCTTAGGACATTTCTTGCCCAAGTGAAACGTACCTATGGATACACATACTTAGGATGTTTCTCTCATCTGGCCTGCCACACTGAGTGGCCTGAGGGGTCGGTCACTCAGCTTTACAGCAAGTATCCTTTTTTTTTTTTTTTTTTTTTGGTTTTTTCAAGACAGGGTTTCTCTGTGGTTTTGGAGCCTGTCCTGGAACTAGCTCTTGTAGACCAGGCTGGTCTCAAACTCACAGAGATCCGCCTGCCTCTGCCTCCCAAGTGCTGGGATTAAAGGCGTGCGCCACCACCGCCCAGCTTACAGCAAGTATCCTTTACAGAGGAAAGCCTCAAGGATGGACCCCAACTCAAACAGCTCCTGCTTAAAGCCCTGACTCTGATGTTAGATGCGGCGGAGAGTTACGCCAAGGTAACCAAGAGTTATTCTAGCCCAGCCTCCGGACTAGTAGGAATTACTTTGGCTTGGGCTCTTCCAAGTGAAGATGGAGTGTGTAATGGGTCAAGCAGAGGTCACTATTGAGTACAAGAGATGGTAATAAAATTCTCTTCTTGTGCTTCCTCCACCTGTTCCTCAGGACTCCTGTGTGCGACAAGCCCTACACTGTAACCGGCTCACTAAGCTGATAACACTGCAGATTCACTTTCTCAACACTGGTCAGAACACAATGCTAATCAACTTGGGCCAGCAGAAGCTAATGGACTGTATCATGGCTCTACCTAGGTTCTACCAGGTACAAACACTCTGTGACAGGTACTCCAGTGTAATCCTGGTGTCTTCCCCTTGGTGTCCAGAGGCTGAGTAACTGGTCTCAGCATTAGGGACAGACCCAGGGCAAACTACTTATTCTGATTTAGCTGTCTAATAGTATCGAGAAGAGGCAATTTGAGATAGATGTGCATGTGTTTTGTAGTGGTTCAGATCAGACAAGGTCTTCACAAATGTGGGCACCATTTAAGGCACACTCCCAGCACTCTCTGGCATATTATCTCAAGCGCATCATTTGGGCAAAGGCTAGAGAATTTTGATGTTTGGCAGTTATGGTTCGAAGAGAATTCCTTGGCTTGTCCTTTTAACAGTCTTTCAGATGGTGTCCATGGAATGAAGCCTGCGGGTTAGCGATGAGAATCAAGACTGCCCGGAGATTGGGTCTTGCCCTTTACAACAAAAGGCACAAATGGCCCAGCATCAGTGCTTTCCTGCTTCCCCCACAGTTGAGTTATGAAAATAAATTTTCACATCAGCGGTTTTATTGTCCATTGTGAGGAAGACTAAAAACAAGTTACTGGAGAGGGCTTTATGAGAGGAGAGCAACACCAGGCAACCTGATACCTTTAACACTGTGCCTTCAGTTTTCTGCAGCATAGGCTCTAACATCCCCTCCCTTCATTTCCGTCCTTTTAAGGCTTCTATTGTAGCTGAGGCCTATGACTTTGTTCCTGACTGGGCTGAAGTTCTCTACCAACAAGTGATTCTTAAAGGAGACTTTGGTTACTTGGAAGAATTTAAGCAGCATAAGTTACTAAGACCCAGTATATTTGAAGACATTTCCAAAAAGTAAGTACTTAAATTGACCCTAATCCCAGCACTGGCTTTAAATCCTAGTGGGTCCCAGGACAACCAGGGCTACATATGGAGATGTTGTCTTGAAAAGGAAAAAAAGAGGAAAAAAGGAGGGCTGGAGAGATGGCTCAGTGGTTAAGAGCATTGCCTGCTCTTCCAAAGGTCCTGAGTTCAATTCCCAGCAACCACATGGTGGCTCACAACCATCTGTAATGAGGTCTGGTGCCCTCTTCTGGCCTGCAGGCATACATACAGAACATTGTATACATAATAAATAAATATTAAAAAAAAAAGAGGAAAAGAGGAAAAAAGGAAAAAGTTGATAGTGAGCCAGAAACTCCAGCAAGTTGTCTCTTGCAGTAGTACTAAATTTAATTAAGGTAGGTGCTGACATATTTATTTTTTGCCAAGAGAGGGTTTCTCTGTGTAGCCCTGGCTGTCCTGGAACTCACTCTACAGACCAGGCTGGCTTCAAACTCACATAGATCCACCACCTGCCTCTGCTTCCCAGATTAAAGGTGTGAGCCACCATTGCCCAGCAACATAATTGCTCTTAATTAACTAATCTAATACTAGTTCAATAATTTCCTAAGCTACAACACTCCTGTATGGTGGCAGAGCTGATCCCCCCCCCCCGTTGTTGTTACAGTATTTAACCTGTACTTTACATATTTTTGTGTAGATATAAACAACACCAGCCTACCGACAAGGTCACAGAAAACCTGAAGAAGTTACTCTCATATTGTGAAGACATCTACTTGCATTACAAGTTGGCATATGAACACAAATTTTTTGAAATTGTAAATGTGCTTCTGAAGGACCCTCAAACAGGATGCTGTCTTAAAGATATGCTCGCAGCTTAGAAGATCTGAAAGATGCCTTATTGCTTTTTGTACCTATATGGCAATAAAGTATTTGAAGATCTTTCTCCCCGCTTGAGGTGAGAAGCCCAGAAACACAGCGTATCACACCAATCATGACTACAAGGAATGAAGGGAAAACTGGTATAAGGTCAAAGACTTGTTAGAATGGCTTCCACATTAGGAGAACGGTCATGATTAAAGAGGACCTGTGCCTGCAAGTTCCAGATTCAAAGCAATTTAATCTTATTTACACAGTTAAGGAACAGGTAATACATTTTCATGAGTTAGAAACTGATCTTTTTTATAATAAAATAGGTTTAAATCAGTGTCTGTCATCACTGCTCAGGAGATCTCAGCCCTGGTCTGCCTTCAACAGTATCTATTGTGATTACTGCTGTGGTTGCTCAGGAGATCTCAGCCCTGGTCTGCCTTCAACAGTATCTATTGTGATTACTGCTGTGCAGTCACGCCCTTTCACTAATTCAAGTCATTTAGACGGTCCTGCTCTCCACCTAGTGCTCTACAGAGCTTTGAGCTTCCTATTGCCTAGGGAAGAGAATTTAAAAACATTTTTGACCTAGTGACAATTATGAGGAACAACAACAACAAAAAAAAAAACCCACAAATTTGGTTAAATGACTTAAATGATCACCCAACTTATGCTTACAGCAATAACATAAGTAGTAGGCGCCAATACTCCAAATAAATAGTCCTAAGGTACTTAATTGAGCCTCTAGCATCTAAACAAAATAATTTCCCAAATAAACAAGAGGAAAGTGGTATCTGTTGCTCTACTAAAGACCCCAAACATTCCTGCTTCAAAACTGTAACTACATCAGGCACTGATTAAGCCTTGGTGAGTACAAAGAGACTCTACCCAAGAGCTGCATCCTGTACTCAACTATCTCTTGGGAGGTAACACAAAATTTAAGTCCTCACAATAGTGATTTTATTAAATTAGTTGCTTTATAAAACATTGCAGATGTCATAATTGTTAACATAACAATTTACCAAACTGTAGTTAACTGGTGCAGTTTGCTGAGTATGTTTTATAAAGAAAAGGAAATGCCAAAACCCTGTTAAGTTTTTCTGTTGCAGCCTAGAAGAACAAGATTTGTTTCTCAGACACTTGAATCAGGCAAATAGAAACAGTTCCCTCCCCCATCTGAAGTCCTCCATCAGTAGAAATAGGCCGATAAATAACTAGACAGTCAATGCACTGGAGCGTCCACCACTGGCACTGTGACAATGGAGAGGTTTACCTTCTTCAGCTTCAAAGTTGAAAGGTTTTGGTCATTAAAATCTTAAGTATCAAACTAGTATTTTTCAGCCACAGTATCTTCACTCTGAGATAAGCAGTCTTCTTCACAACATGTTTTTAATATCCTCACGCTCAAATTTTAGACAAAGCAATTTTAATATTAGGTGCATCCCACATGCCCTTGCTTGCTGCAAACTGCTCTTCTTGACAAGTTATGAAGTAGTTCAAGGAGGTATGGTTAAGGCTGTATTACTGAATGGTGCTGGTAAATACTACACAATTTTTTGTCATGTTGCGACCTTTGTTTCCAATTTAGTGACTGCTGCTATGGAGTCAGATAGCAACAATGACAACATTATTAGGTTTGTTTTGTTTTTAAACTATGATTTAGTAGCAATTGAAGTTCCCAATTTTAACCCCTTGGCAACAAGATCCAAGTTCCCTCATTTGCTCATTAGCACCTGAGTGTCAAGGGGTTAAAATAACCAGCACGAAAGATACTGCACTTCTGATTGTAGCATTTGGCAGAACTGAAAGGAAAGGAAGTTGTGCTACATGTTGAAGGGATTGTGGGCAACAGAAAGAAGACACCAGGAGAAGATAGAATGTCACATGAAGTCTTCGTAGTCTTGTACATATCCTCCATCATATCCACCATAGTCTGCCAGGTCGTCTTTCATAGTGGCCTTTAATCCCCCTCCAGGAACCACACCTTTCTTCTTCTTTTTGGCTTTGTTTTGCTAAAAATGAAGGAAGAGTTAAAATTCATGAACCTGTATGCTACGAACATTTCACCTGTCACAGCAAACCCTTGAGATGTTAAAGCTACAGCATTTTGGGGGTTTGGTGGTGGTGGTTTTTCGAGACAGAGCTTTGGAGCCTGTCCTGGAACTAGCTCTGTAGACCAGGTTGGCCTCAAACTCAGAGATCCACCTGCCTCTGCCTCCTGAGTGCTGGGATTAAAGGTGTGTGCCACCACCGCTCAGCTAGGCTACAGCAAGTTTTATTGTCTCAGAAAAGAAAGCAAGTATGTCTATGAATGGAGACAACAGACACCACACTGCTGTTCTGTTCTAACTTAAAATTTCAACAGGCTCTTTACTGTGTTGAGGGAACTCTGCCCACAGCCCCACCCTAACATAAAGCATTTCTCTGTACAGCTTGCTCTTACCTTTTCTTGCTTCTGTTTTTCACTGCAAAGCACAGTCAATGAATTGGTAATCTTTTTCAAGTCATCAATTTCCACTTTAAAAAAAGAGAGAGACATAATAATAAACTTCAATTTTTAAGCATTTTAAAAAATAAAATCAAAATAGATATCCTACATTTGTAACCTAGGTACCTTTATTAAAACAACTATGAGTTTCTCCTTCATAAATAAACAGGTAAGTAACTGTTCAGTCTATAGCACACTAAAGTAAAATGGTCAACCCAATGAGTATAAGAACTCTAATTAGCCAGATGCACGCATTAAATCCAGCACTGGGGAGGCAGAGGCAGGTGGATCTGAGTTCCAGGTCAGCCTGGTCTACAGAGTGTGACCCAGTATAGCCAGGACAGCAAAACACAGTGAAACCCTGTCTTGGAAAACAAAAGAACAATGTTTGTAAATTCCTTAGTGTTTGCATGGCTTCTTACTGTCTTCCCTCGGTCTAAACAGAGGGGAGACTAACCACAGCCTCTACAATCACTGAGTAGCAGCTACATAGAATATGAAATGATAACTAAACACACAAATGATAGGCCTCTGCCCCCCACTATGTTTTCTAGCCCAGGAACAACACCTTTTAGTAGTGGACAAACAGTAGTAGATCAGTTCTTAGATACAGAAAATGTTAGGGTTTGGTTAGAAAGCCCCCCACAAAAGAAACAGGAAAAACAGTACATACATACATATAAAATGAAAACCCACCTGTGCGTAATCATTACCTACATTGACCCCTGCTTCCTGATCATTCCTCAAACTATGACTCCTAATTCAAGAGCCTTTTGACACTCTGCAACCAGTCCCAAGCCCCTCAGACATTCTTGGTATGGTGTCCCAGCATTAAGGGCACCAGTTCTGTTGGGCAATTTGGATAGCATCTCAAACCCTACTTGTAAAATCAACAGTCCCAAAGAGCCCCTAGTCCATTCCCTCTAAAGATACTTTGTAGTCCTTTAGGAGACAATGTGACCTGCTTTGCTAGGCATAAATCAGCTATCTCTTTTGAGAAGCTCCTACACAACAATGAAAGCAGCCTGCCCCACCCCCAAATACTCAAATTGGATAACATTCCAAAAATAGTTGCTAAAAAGGAAATCCTAAAAGTCTACATTATATGGCATTAAAGCTTATCTAAAAAAAAAAAAAACTTTCCCAAGTATGATGTTTACAATATAATCTTAACAAAAGGGGCTAGAAATCAGCATCACTTACATGAAATACAGACATCTCGAACTAAGGCTTCCAAAAAACTGGCATAATATAGTGATTTTTCATACTGTGTAATTTTATCTTTTAGTAACTTTCCAAACTCTGTGAAATCATCTCTTGAAGATGGGTTCATAGCATCTATTCCATAACCTGTATTATTAACACCTGCAGGAGAGAAGACCTGAAGCATTAGGAAGATACAAACATTTTTAAGTTCATCAATGGGGACTAGAGAAATGGCTCACAGGGTAAGAGCTTCCCATGTAAAGATGGGGAGAAAGAACTGAGGACACAAAACTGTCTTCTGATCTCCACACGTTCCTCCCCGTAACAAAAACTTTAAAGTTCATAAACCAAGCTGCTATCTAAACAATCTGTTTTACTCTAAAGCAGAACTTTATAAAAACATGTGCCACCATCTGCATGTGAAATTAGAGGATAACTTTCACTCCTTCCACCAATGAGGGTTCTGGGGAATCAAACTCAGGTTATCAGGCTTATTAGCCACTGAGCCACCACTCCAGCCCTAGGAAGCTTTTTAAACTACTGAACTTTTTAACCTGGGCCAGTGAGAGTTCCTGGACAGAATTCAGAAGGGTGCCTCTGAAATTCAAATATTAAAAAAAATTTATTTTATCTTGAATTTTATTGACCTCCAATTTAGCATTTTCTTCCATTTTTATTTTAGGCAACAATCATATTTAATAACAAACCCATCACTGTCTGCTTACAATACTGTCAACTACTACCAATAAAAAAAAAACATATGAATTTGAGTAGTTACAAACATTTATAATCCCAGCATTTGGGAGGATGAAGAATTCAAGGCCAGCCTGGCAAGAACCTGTCTGAAAAAAGAAAACCACCAACCAGTAAATTACTAAATAGGGGCTGAGAATGTAGCTTACTCACAACACATAGTGCTTGCCTAACTTATATGAAGCCCTGAGTTCAATCCCCTGCACTAAAAACTAAAAATCTTGAATTCTGTGTGTGTCATGGATTTGTTTTGGGGTTTGATTCCTGTTCCAACTGAAGTATTAGAAACACCTTTAATCCCAGCATTCAGGAAGCAGAGGCAAATTTCTCTGAGTTCCATGCCAACCTGGTCTATATAGTAAGTTCTACACCAGTCAGAGCTACAAAGACCCTGTCTCAAAAACAAAAGCTGTAACTAGAAAAGGAATCCACAGAATTTACTAGCTGTTCAAAGAAGGATGCTCTCAAAAGATCTGTCCAAGAAAGACAAAAGGGATGGGGGGCCACCAAGTGTGACCACCTACATTCAATCAATCCCTTGAACCCTCATGGCAGCAACTCCACAAGCTGTCCTCTGGCTTCCACAAGCATCCTTGGGTACAGAAACCCAATAAATGTAAAAACAAAACTTTTTACAAAGATGGGAAAGGATAAGGAGATGGATATGATAAAAATAATTAGCTAACTCCAAAAATTAAACAGAAGTAACCATGTGTTAAAACCTGAGAGAAAAATAATCTAAATTCTAAAATTCTAGGTTAAAAGTATGTATGCTTCTTAACATATCTTTTTCAATGTCAAATAATGATCTAGCAAAACCACAAATTCAATTCCTATTAACCAGATAGTGACTGTTAGCTCATTTTCCATTTCTTAATTTGCAACTGGTACCCCCATGAGATTTTCTGCACTGAGTATACACACATGGGCTGTCCTGAAGAGAGGAACACCCACAGTTACAGCCAACACTGCTAGAAACCCATTGAGGGTATGAACACACTTTCCTAAAGGGGAACAAGCAAGCCTCTTTGTTCTAGAGAAGGGGTTGGTGAATTTTTTCACACCAGATAAGGACAAACTTGACAAATGAAGTAGTCTGTATTTCTCTATTTCTTTTAACTCTTCCTTAGGTATGCTGGCTAGTTCTATGGCAACATGACAAACTAGAGTCCTCTGAGAAGCGGGAACCTCAACTGAGAAAATGCCCCCACCAGATTGGCCTGCAGTACATTTTCTTGATTTTTGATTTATGTGAGACAGCCCAGCTCACTGTGGGCAATGCTACCCCTGGGCAGGTGGTCTTGGGAATTGTAAGTAAGCAGACTGAACAAGCCCTACGGGACAAGCTAGTAAGCAGCAATCCTCCATGACTTTTGCTTCAGTTCCTGCCCTGCCTGACTTCCCTGATGATGGACTATATAAGCTGTAAGATAAATGATGGCCCTGAAAGGTAGGGTATTATGAAGGCCAAAAAAAGAGAAACAACCCTGAACACAAGGCAAAGCCAAAACTGAATATTCTACATGGACCAACCTGCTCTGTCCAAGTCCTATCTGGACTTACGGCAATAGGATATCACCAAAGACAGTTGGGTATTTCAATTTCAAAGCCATAGACAGCAGAATCTATCCAGTTCATAAGTTTAGGCAACAGTACACTTTACTGGTCTACTGGCATCTTTCGGAGGGCGTTGGGAGGCCTTCTTGCTATATAGCCCTAATTAACCACTACTTCTGACTCTCCTGTCTCAGCTTTCCAAGGGTTAGGAATACGGGCATGTGTTACAAATGATGTTATATATATTTATGATACTATAAAATATTACTCAAAAAATTTGAAAACATGTCTATACTTTGTCAAGTAATCTTAAATATATAAACAAGAGCTTAAAACAGAGTTCTAATCTCAATTAGAATGTGTGCGTCCTTTAAAAACAGTTTTGATCTCTCACAGATAAGGCAGTAAGACTGGCAGAATTTTTCACCTGGAGTGGTTCAACACTGCACCACCATCTTACCAAAAGTTTCTTTTGCTAATTCAAGGTCTGACTCTTCCTGTAGCTTCTTTAGCCGAAGTTTATCTGCTAATTGCTCTTCAGGTGTTAGCACTTTAGGTTCTTCAGACTCTTCTAACTAAAATGAAACACAAGTTTCACTTGTAAAAGACAAGTTTATAGCAGACAGAGTATATTTTTATATTGTATGGATTTTATGTCATCAGCACTTACACAAAGAAGCAAGCACATACTTGTAATCATACAAATGATTACTGTATTTTGGCACTCTTCTAAACACTTTAAAGGATACTCATATCTCAATTATATAGATAATTAAATAAAGCATGGAGACACAGAGAGGTAAAACAACTTACACACAATAATAGGAGTAATATTTGAACCCAGGAAGGTAGAGGCTATTTAGTTCCCCATCCACTTGTCAAAAATGAGTGGATGAAATTATAGGTAAGATGAAACGGCACTCTTCACAGGATGCCACAACAGACATTGAGCAACCTTTCTAGAATATGGAGACCTCTATCGGGCATCTTAAAGTATTTCTACATGCTTTCATCAATTCTTTTTTTTTTTAAATAATTTATTTAACTTTATTTTATGTGCATTGGTGTGAAGGTATCACATAAGATCCCCTGGAACTGGAGTTACAGATAGTTGTGAGCTGCCATGTGGGTGCTGGGAATTGAACCCAGGTCCTCTGGAAGAATGTCCAGTGCTCTTAACCACTGAGCCATCTCTCCAGCCCCCGCTTTCATCAATTCTATAATAAATATTTGTGTTAAGAAACCTGAGATGGGGGCAGGGGGCTGAAGAGATGGCTCAGTGGTTAAGAGCACTAGCTGCTCTTCCATAGAACAGGGGTTCAAATCCCAGCACCCCCATGGTAACTTAAAAATCTAGTTCCAGGAGATACACAGGTACCACATGAACACAGTACAAATATACATACACACAAGACACTCAAAAACAATAAACCTTTTTTTTTTTTTTTAAAGAGAGGAGGCACTGAGATGGCTCAGTGGCAAAGATTACCGCTGGCTGTTCTTCTAGAAGACCAAGAATTCTTCCCAGCACCCATACGGGGGTTCACAACCACCTACAACTCCAATTCGAGGGAATCCAATGTGCTCTTTTGGCCTCTAAGGGCACCAGGCACTTAAGTGGTAGATAGACAGGCAAGCATGCAAGTTAAACACCAATACACATAAAATGGGATGGGAGGAGGTGGAGAAACCTGAGCTGAACACAAAGATATCCACTGGAATACTATTTATAATTGCAAGTAAATCTAGTGACATTAACTACAGAATATTTAACACACTGTTCATTTGGCAACATAGACATTAAAGATGTTTTCAAACCATTAGAAAAAGTTTTATTTTAGAGTTACAAATGTAATCTAACATGTAATCTAAATGTAAACCAACATGACACCTCAGTAATGTAAAGCTCTCACTTATCCCCCCAGCACTCTGAAAGGGTAGATAGCAGCTGGTGTCTTTTCAAGAGATAACAGTTATTGGGGAATAATACAAGCACCTGCATGTTCCCACCTATGCAAATTTTCATGTTGAAAACACATTTCTTTTTTGCTTTTTCTTTTTTTTATATTTATTTATTCATTATTCATACAATATTCTGTCTGTGTGTATGTCTGAAGGCCAGAAGAGGGCACCAGACCTCATTCCAGATGAGCCACCATGTGGTTGCCGGGAATTGAACTCAGGACCTTTGGAAGAGCAGGCAATGCTCTTAACCACTGAGCCATCTCTCCAGCCCCTGAAAACACATTTCCTTGTTCATGAAGTGGAAATGTAAAGAGGTTAAAAAAAAGAAAAATGGAATATTTCCAAGTGTCTTTAGACCTAGACAAAGATCAAAACTGAAAATATCTCAATGTCAGGCTTAAGACAAACTAACACTCAAGTCAAGGTCTCCTCAAGTTGGAGACTAATATAAAAGTCTGAAAACCTGGCCAGGTGGTGGTGGTGCATGTCCCAGCACTTGGGAGTTCTAGGCCAGCCTGGTCTACAGAGTTCTAGGACGGAAAGGGCTGTTACGCAGAGAAACCCTGTCTCGGAAAACAAAACAAACCCTAAACTCCACTTCAGAGCTTTAAATTTTATTCTTTAACACGTTATAGTTTTGTTTCTGGTTGTTTTGTTTTTTGATTCCTAAATTCTTTTGAGATAGTCTCATACAGTAAGGAGGGATGAGAGTACAGGTACACGCCACCATGCACAGCTCTTACAAATGTTTGCTTCTTTATTGAGACATGATCTCTTCTGTTCCAGGCTATTCTATCCTCAAACCTGTAACTCTCTCAGTGGGATTATAGGCATGCAGAACCACAACCTGCTTGAAACTTCAATGTTTTTTCATTCATATGTGTGTACCATACATGATGGTGGTGGTGGTGTGAACAAGCATAAGGACAGCCTCCCCTGCCCCCTGCCCCCGAGCTGGTCTCAAGCTCACTACCTAACTTAGGATTACTCAAACTTCTTATCCTCCTGCTTCCATCTCTCAAGCAATGGGGTTATAGGCATGTAGTGCCACATTGTTTTATGAAGTGCGAAGGATTGAACACAGGGTTTTGTAGATGGTCCTGTACCCATCTACACACTGGAAGCACCAAGTAGACTCTTTAGTTTTTAAAAACAGCATATGAAGTTGGGAAGGAGAGTAATGGGGAAGACAGGAGGAACTAGGGGTTTCAACTAAACACATTATATACAAGTATAAAAGTCTCAAACAATAAACTACTGTGCTTGAGTAAAACACAAGTTACAAAAACCTTATTAACAAGTTTATATGAAAACAAAGAATTATTTTTTTGGCAGAGTCAGACATGGTGGCACACACCTTTAATACCAGCACTTGGAGGCAGAGGCAAGTGGATCTGAATTTGAGGCCAGCCTGGTCTACAGAGCAAATCCCAGGAGAGACAGAGTTACACAGAGACACTGTCTCCCCCACATAAAGCAGACTGACCATAGCACCTTTCACACGAGCAAGCACTCCATCAATGAGCTGCATCTCACAGATGCAGATCCCATGCTACATCTCTTTCTGGTAAAAACAAGCTATACAGACACAGCTAAAAATATAGTTTTCTAAAATATCAGGTATATTGCATAAATACAACCTGATATGAAAAAAATCCCCCTTTCAGAGGTTTAAAGGTAAAATGTATATTAGTTATATTAAGCAAAACAAAAATAGCTGAAACAAATCTGGGGACACATTAACAATATTAGGTGATATTTGTTGTTTTTTGAGACAGTCTCACACTACGTAGCCCTGGATGACCTAGAACTTGCTATATAGACCAGGCTAGCCTACAATTTTTAGCAATCCTCCTCTTTCTGCCTCCTACATGCCAGGATTATAGGTATGGATACCACCAACATTTGGCTTTATGGGACTGGGCCTTACAATACAACCCAGGCTAGTCTTGAACTTACAGTAATGTAATTCACACTTCCAGAGAACTGGGATTTCAGGAATACACCACTATGCCTGATTATTTTCCTACTTTCATATTTGAAGATCTTTTTTTAACAAAAAGTAAAGAAGTCAAGGGGGTGGTGGTGCAGCCTTTAATTCCACTCAGGAAGCAGAGGCATGCAAACAGATCTCTGAGTTTAAGGCCAGCCTGGTCTACAAAGTGAGTTCCAGGACAGCAAAGGCTACACAGAGAAACCCTGTCTCAAACAGAACAAAACAACAACAACAAAAAGTAAAGTATTAGAGGTATTTCCATGTTATGTATGGGAAGATTTCTACAGGAAAGTAAATAAAAATGAAGTGGAAACTACAGAAGAAAGGACAGCCAGTTAGCGGTGCATATCTATAATCTCAGTACTTGGGAAGTGGAGACAGGAGAAAAATCAAGCTCAAGGTCAGTCTGTCTCAAAGAGAGCTGGAGATGATACACACAGAAATATAAAGGTGTGATGGAAAGATAAGGAACAAGTGTTTACATGAGGGATAGTGGGAAAGACAGAATAAGGAATTAGAAGTGTTTTATAGTTTGAATTATGAAATGTTTCCTATTAAAAAGAAAATTAATAAATACAACAATACTTCTGGATCCTGCTACAAATAATCGAGAATAAAACCAGTTTAGGACATGACAAAGGTTTGCTCAGTGTATTCTCTGTGTATGACTGTGACTAGAAATAGCTGCGGGTGGGCTGGGCATACAGCTCAGTGGCAGAGGGATCACTTACATGCATGAGGCCCTGAATTCAATCCCAGCACTGAAAGAAAAAAAAAAAAAGCAAAACTGCAGGTGCTAGCAAAAACATTACGTGTGGTCACTGCACAATCTAACTGTTCTGATGAAACTGAAAATATTTTCAGATGTAAGACTTCTGGGTTGGATTTTTGCACCAAAAATCCCTTTGCTCTGGGATGCACCTATCTTATGGTATATCCACTTTGTCTTTACAGAGCCCTTCAAATTGTGAGGTAATATTTGCAGCCAGTTAAGACGCTGTACCACAACTGACACATTATGAATTCTGTATGCATTTTACGGAAACTGACAGAACTTACCCTCTTTCTAATTTCTTCTTGCCTTTTCTTCTGCTGCCGTTCTTTCTCTTTTATCTTTTCTGCTATTTTTTTCTTTTCTGAAATTTTTACTTCTGAAAGAAATATTTTATTTACAATTATATTGAATACTTTCTAGTCTGTAGCTTAGGCAGATATGATACTTGAACACCTGAAGAGACAAAACCTCCCTAGCTTTCAGAGTCTTATGGTGATATTCTGGAAACGATAAAAGTTCCAGTACTCTTCCTTTTCCTTTCAAATCTTATCCCCAAAGATCCAAATAGACAAATAAGATTATTCAAACAACACCATTTCCTCTACTCTTTTCTCCTACCTAGATGACCCAGCAATCAAACAGAAAACCTGTAGGTACTTAATCTGCTGTACAAAAGTACAAGAAAAAGAAAATATACAGAGAGATTTGGTTTAAAACAACGAAGCAGCATCAGTGGCTCACCTGGTTTTACTTCTGCTTCCTCTTTATTTTCGTCATCATCATCATCCCAGTTATCCTGAAGACAAGAACCTCCATTAGTAATTCTTTTTTTTAATATTTATTTATTTGTTATGTATACAATATTCTGTCTGTGTGTATGTCTGCAGGCCAGAAGAGGGCACCAGACCTCATTATAGATGGTTGTGAGCCACCATGTGGTTGCTGGGAATTGAACTCAGGACCTTTGGAAGAGCAGGCAATGCTCTTAACCACTGAGCCATTATCTCTCTAGCCCCTCCATTAGTAATTCTTACACATTTTCTTTCCCACAAGATTTCTACGTTTGCCGGGTGGTGGTGGCGCATGCCTTTAATCCCAGCACTCAGAAGGCAGAGGCAAGTGGATCTCTTTGAGTTGGAGGTCAGCCTGGTCTACATGCTAGTTCCAGGATGGGGTCCAAAAGCTACAGAGAAACCATGTGGGGGGGGGGGGGGGAATCTCTATGGTTAACTCTGCACAAACAAGTTTGTTGGTAATTTTGGTATTATAGCCTTTGTAACAGTAAGGCCCTTAGCCAATGGTTATCTTTCCATTTTTTCAAGTCTAATTCGTATCTCAGGAGTATAATAAGTGTTACATGTTTTTCTTTGGGTCTGTTCCTAGTATTCTGTAAATTCCTGTAAATTCTGTTGCTTTTGTAAGTTAAGTTTCCCTTGCTCCCATCATGCCCTATAATTAGTTATTTGTATGTAGCAAAGGTTACTGGGCTTTGAACATTAGTGAAGGACAGAGTCCAGTATAGCCTAGCCTGGCCTTGAACTCCTTCCTGGTCTTTCCGCCTCCACTTCCCAAGTGGTTGGAGTACAGGTTACCACACCCAGCCTTTGTACAGCAATTTTACCACTTAAGATTTATTATCAATTCCTTACTTATAATTCTCTAATTAAAAAATTTGCAATGTTTCAGAATTCAAAACATTCGAGTATCATCAACATGTTGGCACAAGAATATTCCATACTTGGGGTGGGGGTGGGGGCGCTGAATGCCTTTAATCCCAGCATTTGGAAGATAGAGGCAGGCGGATCTCAGTGAGTTGAGGCCAGCCTACAGAGTGAGTTCCAGAACAGCTAGGGCTGTCTCGAAGAAGGAAAGAAAAATATTCCATACTTACAACAAATGGACCTAGTACCACAAGCCTGAATATAATCCCAGCTACTTGAAAGGTAAATCAAAGTTTAAGGGCTGCCTCTACGGAGTAATCCTGTTTCAAATTAAGAAGAGAGAGAGAGAGGGGCTGGAGAGATGGCTCAGAGGTTAAGAGCACTGCCTGCTCTTCCAGGGGTCCTCAGTTCAATTCCCAGCAACCACATGGTGGCTCACAACCATCTGTAATGAGGTCTAGTGCCCTCTTCTGGCCTGCAAGCATACACACAGAAAGAATATTGTATAAATAATAAATAAATATTTAAAAAAAAAAAAAGAAGAGAGAGCAAGTAGGTAAATTATATAATAAATTGCTTGCTTGGCATGCACAAGACCCTAGGTTAACTCCCCAGTACTACCAAAAATTAAAAATAACAACAGAAAATTCCACATCTGACCCAGATAGATAGATCTTTTGTCAAACAGAATGCTTAAAATAGTGTATAAAATTACCTTCCAGTTATGGGTATAAGGTATATTTAAAACAAAAGAATTTCATGTTTACTTGGGTCCCATACCATTACATATACATATATACACCTCAAAATCTGAAGCAAAAAAAAAAAAGCCCCAAATGGCAGTATTTCTGCCCCAAGTGTTCTGGATAAGGGATATACTATACAACCAGTACACATCACCTAAAAACAACAGAAAGGGCGCACTACTTCTTGACTTTTGAGACAGGGTTTCACTATATATTCCATGCAGGCCTCCAACTCAGCGATCTCCCCACCTCTGCCTCCAAGTGATGAGATTGAAGATATGAAGAAGGCCCTCCACACCAGCCTGACAAATTAATTCCTCTAATTGTATTTGCTAATCTCCAGTACACTAGTGAACAGAACAGAGACAATAGGCACCCTTTTCTGTTCCTCTCTTAATGAAACTGTCCTCCAAATACAGTAAAATCTATGAGTCACTGGCTTTTGCTACCTCTATATTTGCATTAGATTTGCATTAAGTCAAAAAAATCTCACACCAAAGAATTCACCATGTTTTCTTCTAGAATGTATATTGTTTCATTGTTTTTTTTTATTTAGACCCCTGATCTATCTATAGTAAAAACCACAGACCTTATCATATAGACTAAAGCTTGCAGTGACCCTGTTGTATCTCCTGAGTGCAGAGGTTAAAGTGGAACTAACACCCATTTACTACCACACTGCTTTCATTACAGAAGCTTTATGGTATGTTTAATGTCTGCATACATAAAATAATGTGTGTTTAATGTCATTCCCCATTTTAGGATTTTTTTATTCATTATATATACAGTGTTCTGCCTGCATGTATATCAGAAGGCCAGAAGAGGGCACCAGATCTCATTACAGATGGTTGTGAGCCAGCCCCTGTTAGGATTTTTGTTTTTACTGTTATGTTTGTTTTTCCATAAGCCTTTATATCCACTTATCTAATGCCATAAAAAGCTTACCAATTAAAAATACAAGATAACCAAGCTCAAATTTATAAGCCTTAAGTAAGTTGCTATCTTATTTTTAATTTGACAAAGTCTACCTATATAGCCCAAAATGGCCTTGAACTGATCCTCTTGCCTTCCCTTACTACATTCTGAGATTACCTATGTGTGTGTACCGCCCATTGCTTTTCAATTGTTTCGTTCACCAGATGCTGCTCTCTAATCAATGGGTTGTTTCCAGCGGTATTGCTTACAACACAATCACAGTCAATGAATCAAATTACACAGTATTTTTAGGTACAGTATTAGAGACAAGTGAAGAACTATTCATCCCTTTATGGCTCTGCCTCCTTAAGCCAGGCAAGGCACTCTGAGGTAGACCTATAATCTGTTTATCTATGCCTAACTCTATACTGAGCTACATATAAACCTAATGTCAAACAATTTTCTGAAGACACTGTAGAATTTACAAGATTCCAGTTTAGCAGGGATAGAGACAGCCCTCAATTTAAATTGTGCTTTAATCTATAGGTAGAACACAGTCTCAGCAACCACCAGCACAGTATGACACGTCATTTAAAGATGAGCCATCAGAGGGAAGATGCAAAGCAGGAAGCCCTAATGCCATTACAAGAGGCAACAGCTGACTAATACCACAGCTATGACACAAACACAAGCGTCTAGTTTTATAGCATTACAGACCACAGGTCTAAATCAATGCAGATATATATATATATATATATATATATATATATATATATGCTAAACCTCAATAAAAACAAGTTTGTACATCCAGCAAAGAAATTAAAAATCTATTGGAATAATTTCATATGCAAGTAAGTATGTGTATGTATAAGTTTCTAAAACATTCTATTTTCTGTGTTTGGATGTTCAGCCTTCATGTATGCCTATGTACCACTTGTGTGTCCAGGGAGTCCAGAGAGGATTCAGATGTCCTGGAACTGGAGTTACAGTTGTAAGCTACCAAGTGAGTGCTGGGAAATCTAACCTGGGTTCTCTGGAAGATCAGCCAGTGCAGTGCTCTTACCCAATGAGCTAACTCACCAGTAAAAAATATATTTTTACAATCACTTGTCAATTTAACTCATGGTTTCGAGTTTTATCAGACTGAAAACAAATTAATTATTCATTATTTAAGTAACTAAGATATTAGAATTGGAAATAAAAAAATCAGAGCCAGGCAGTGGTGGTGCACACCTTTAATCCCAGTACTGGGGAGGCAGAAGCAAGTGGATCTCTGAGTTCAAGGCCAGCCTGCTCTACAAAGCAAGTTCCAGGTCAGCTAGGACTTTTCACAGAGAAACCCTATATCAAAAAACAAACAAACAAAAAATTAAAAATAAAAAAAGTTTGTATTATTACCTTACTACTATGCCTTAGTTTTCACATGAAAACTGTAGTACAAAGGCTACCAACAGAAGTTAACTATCAAGTATTTCAGGGTCTGTAATATGCTGCTTAGACAGTGCTTCAAATAGGAGGGTACTGTATTTCCAGTAAGTGCAGATTTAAAATCGAGATAATAATAGTAACAGAACATATTGATGAACATTTACTTTACACCCAAAATTATGCTAGGAGCTTTTTCTTGTTGTAACATTAAGGCTAATTCTCGTAACTCTTCTCAATATACGGCAGCAGCATCCCTTTTTACAGAAAAAACTGTGATCCGGATATAGCCAACAAATGATCTTAGTAAGAAACAATATAGGGACTTGCATTGAGTGGCTTAAAGTGACAAAAGAACTTCCTGAGACTCAGAATATAAAGTAACTTTCTCTTATTAATATTTGTCCTTTCAATTAGTTCTAGAATGAACTCCCCTAGATCATAGGGAAATCTCAAAAAAAAAAAAAAGCACAGTTAGGTACATGCTAATATGTAAAATGTGCCCAGATACATAAAACTGTATTAATTACACACCTTCAAAACTCAGGGTGCCTATTATTTTGTTTAGAAATTTAAAAATCTTGAAGTCTGTCTGGTACCACAAAGCCAAGAGAGAACAATCACTGAAAATAAACAGTACCCTGGTGATACCTTCAACACAGAGAAGCACCCTTAGTAGCTCATCCATACCAACTCTATATACCATGTCCCTATTATGAAATGGTTTCCTATAAAAGATAACCCAGCTCCCATCCATGCAAACAGAAGGCTCCCTAGAAATTCCCCATTTTATCAGAATCCCTTCTTTTTCCAGTGGGGGTGTAGGGTATTGTGGTGGGGTCTTGCTGTGTAGCTCAGGCTGGCCTTGAACTCATAATCCTCTGACTTCTACCTCCAGAATGCTGGGATTTGTGGCAATGTCACTAAGCCAGGCCAGAAAGGGTTTTAGTAGCCAAAGAGGCAGTTCCTGTAAACAAATTCTAGGTAGAGTCGTGACCCCGCCCCAATGCACAAAGGACCATGAAAGGCAAGTCACTGTCTATCATCAT